AGTGGCTACACAACCGGTCTCAAACAGGACCAGAGGCTAAAATGGCCGGATGGTTGCTATTTTTATAAAATCGCCTGTCCCAACATGGACAAAGGCGTCCGGCGACACCCCTCCGGGTGCAATCGTCGCAGAGAACAAATTATCTGTCAGTTCTACGTACCCATGCAGACGGCAAAAATTGAACGACCAAATTGGTCAACTCATAGCCGTCTGACTAAAATAACCTACGAAGATCGAATAAGTTCCTAAATACCGGATGCCCATAGGCATCAATCGGTAACCGGCTGAAGTTCTCACTTAGGTTATTTGTTTTAAAATGTCACCTCACCCCAATTGGGGCAAGAGTTCAATGGCTATGAAATCTCTACCAAGACGGGCATAAGTCGTCTGTGTAGTGACCGAAAATCCTGTTGGTGTACGGTTGTGCACTTGGTTTGGGGCAATCACTACTGTGATTGATTGACTTACAAACATATCATGCTCTTTGCAGCATCAGACGTTTTCAAGTCAATCAACCAGCTCCAATTGAAACCAATCACACAGCCGTCCAGGGGCAAGGATAGCCGGACTACTGATTAGTTAGGCAAGAAATCGCCGCATGCTTTTGATAAGTTAGGCAAAAATTAAAATTTGCAAAAAACAAAAATTCAAATGCAAAATGATCAAAACCGACTTAGTCGGTGCAATTCATAAAAGTCCATCCCACCAAACGATTGTAATGGATCAAATGTTAACCGGACCCCGTCCGGGAGAAAGAAATTGTTAATTAACCCGGCTCCATAGCCGGTAAAAACACGAATACTCGGCACGCAGGCCGGAAAAAGCAAGTTTTGGTATACAACCGCTGAATAAAAATTAAAAAAGCAAAGACTGGCATACTGCCGCTGAGGGGTCACTTCTGGCCTGCAGACGGAGCCTCCTGGTTCTTCCCCTTCTCCTCATCATCTGAGGGAATTAGATGCGCTTCGTCGGGACCAGGAAGCTCAAGCGCGGTTGGCTCATTGTTGCTGAGCCAGGCTTCAAAGGAGGCAGGCTCTGGCTCACCTTGCTCTCTCAAGTACACCACGTACTCGGCATAGCTGTGTGCCATTGCCCAGATGCTATAATCAGCGTTTGGGTACAAGGCAGCCCAAGCAATTTTCATACGGGCGTCGTTATCAGCATCACTCTCAGCAACAAGGCGGTTTTGCTCCGCCTCCAAGGTTGCTGCAAAGTTTTTCAGAGCTTGAGCAGCATCCTTCTCCAGCCTCTTAACCTTGGATTTCAGTTTGCCAAGGTCCGTCTGGGTCTTCTTGAGCGCCTCTTCAGCCTGTTTGGCGCTCTTGTTTGCTTTCTTCTGAGCCTCCTCCGCTCCCTTCTTGGCCGTCTCAGCATCCGTTACCCGCTGGTCGGCCGCCTTCAGATCTAGCTTCAGCTGCTGGATTTTAAACGCCTGTGTCATAATTATTGCTTTAGTTTCAAGTTCATTTACGATAGTTGAGTGTAAAGCAATATTATCAGCGTCTATGGCGGACTTCTTGGCCCTTTTTACCTCTTCCCGTTTGCGGGAATAAGGACGTTTGAGCCCGTCCACCCGCAGCATGGCCTGCAAAAAGCAGGCAGTATAAGAATTACAGGCGGGATAATTACTTGGAAAAAATAACATTGAATTGACAAGTTTCTTACCTCAGCCAGAAGGGATAGAATGCGTTCAAGATTGAACGTCTCTATCCCAGGGATATTGTCCTTATCCCTCTTCCGGACGGCATCCAGCATGGCCTTGGTGTGCTTCTGGACGCCTGGCCAGCGGGGAGATTGATCTGCACCACAATCAATACGTGATGAGTGCGAAACTAAGGCAGCACCTATTTGTTGTCGACCGTCTGAGGATGACGTCTGTTGGGAGTGGGATTTCACCCGTAAAGGCCACCCCAGCTCAAGCGGGGATTCAAAAGGGTTCTTACCTTCAGAGTTGGCCAAGCGGGAAACGCTTGCAGGCGTGGTGAACCCCGCGGCTGCTGAGGAGTTGGCAAGATCAAGGCACAGGCTGCCGCCTACCTTCTCGAGTCGCCCCGCTATCCGCATCGTCTTAGCCCCGGCTGAGGCGCCAGGAGTTGACGCAGAGGCAAACTTTTTTATTTTATTGAGAACGGCTAGGGCCTCCTCTCTAGCCCGTTTGAGATTCTTCTCAAACGATTTCCCAACTTCTCCCCCTGTGAAAATAAACAAGTAAAGGTTAGTATCCGGGCAAGACAGTTTATAAAATAAACTTAAGAAAGGATCAGGCGCTCAATACCTTGGCCCTGAGCTCGGCCGCAGCTTTCTCCGCAAGATCTTTGCGGATGGTCGCAGAAGACCGCTTGGGAGTTTTCTCCAACTGTAACATGTTTAACGCTTCTTCTGCAAAAAGAGAAGTTGATCAGAATCATAAATCAATTCCGATAGAAAAATACTACAGACGGTGTGAACCCAGGCGCATACGTTTATAAAACATGTGCCCTAGCCCGCAGGCGGCTAGGAAACATTCATCCCTAAACCAGGTGCTCTTGGGAATCCAATTCTTAGGGACTTTTATTGTTTCCCCGGTTGACAGAGTTGCGCCTGTGAGGCCGAAAAAGTCTGCCTCGATTATTTTGTCAAAGTCTTCCTCTGGGATCCGGGGAAGAGCGCACTTCCTGCCCAACAAGTCGGGCTTCTTATTGTACAGACGAAATTCATAATTTTCCCGTCTGGTCGGGGCTGACATTAGGTAGAACCTGTGCTTCCAGCCATCGAACTTGGAGACCTTGTCCAAGGTCATCATGTATTGCGGCTGTGTGGTTAGAGTATACCACGCCCTCCAGCCGCCTGGGCTTCTGCTGAGGTAATGCATGCTTGCAAAGGCCTCCTAGCCGGTATTAAACCCTTGGAACTCGCAGGCGGCAACATACCCCAGAATGTTGGTCCAGGAGTTGGGGGTAAGTTGCCAGACCCCAAGGCCGTAGCCTCTCAAAATTGCCTTCACTGCCTGGTGAAGGGGGAAGCGAAGGCCGACTTTGAACGCCGCCTCATAACAGCCAAGATAGCTGTTGGCGTTCTCTTGATCATCCCCCAAGCGACGATGCCCAGCTCAGGCGGCACCCGGATCTTATACCTGTCTCCAAGCGGGTGCATTTTCTTAAAGTCCTCTAAGTTCTCCCCCATCTGGATTCGGTCCTTGGAGGAGACGTGGATGCTGAAGGGATCGTCCTTCTCACTCCACTTTTTCCTTTCTTCCTCCTCGCTATCCAGAAGAGGGGGCAAGTCATCGCTGCTCTCGGAGGTAGAGGCGGAGCTGTCGCTCTCCGTCTCCCCCTCTCTTTGGTCCATGGGGGCAGAGGCGGCCTCGTTGCCGCCTTGGTCATACTCTTCCAAAAAAGAGTCTGCAGGGGTTGAAGGGGCTCGCGGAGGGGATCTCTCCAGAGCCGTCTGGTTTCCCTGACCAGTCGTTTCTCCCTTAGGCGTTTGGCCGCCTGAGCCTTCGCTCTTGTAATTCGGGTCCGTGGCCGTCTGCATTATCCGAGCCATGGTGTCCTGCACAGACACATAACTGGTCGGAATCCATGGCAAAGGGTAGTCCCAACACCCCGATCCGGCACTCCCAGTCCTAGACTCAGCCGACCCTGGTGACCGGCTGGACTCTAACCTAGGTTGTGCCGTGTGTGTTGGTGATGCATCCATTTATTGCAAGAAATATGTACAAGCGGTGCAAAAAGAAAAGAGCTGAAGAACAAACTTTCTTTCTCGCGTCTGCCTCAAACAAGTGACTTCTGCTCTCTCAGAGTTTTTCTCTCTAGGAAATTTTTGTAAACGTACAAAATTATGAGGGTAAAACGGCTATATATGGAGGGTAAATTTGGGGGCATTTCCGTAATTTACCCGGAAGGTGAACGGTTACTCTATAACGGTAAAATTACCGCTGGCCGGAGCGTGACATGTGTCACAGATGCCACGTGGCGTGCCACATCACATCTGTGAGGGGCAAATGTTTAGGGTAATTTTACCCTGCCACGTGGCCCAATCAGAAGGTGACACGTGTCATCCCCAGATTGGTCTAAAATGGACCAATCCCTGCTCGACACGTGTCATTCTCGAAATCAAGGGAAAAGGCGGCCTTCAGGCCCAAATCCCGAGAATGCCGCCAAACGGCGCATCCCACCAATGATTAGGGTTCAGTAACCTAATCAGGGGCACAATTCCCAAAGACCCTATAAATAGGGAGATGTCCCTCATTTTGAGGGCACGTTTTGATCATTTATTACACATTTACTCTTTGAGAGAGACATCCTAAGCTTGGAATCCGAGCAGATCCCTACCTAAATTTCCGCAACTAGAGGTAGTAGTGTTGCTAATAGTTTGAGGCAGGGCCTAAGCTTGCTTGTTTTGCTCTTGTTTGTGAACACTGATTATCCTTAAGACCTTAATGAATGATTTGCCTTGCTATTTTAAAAAAAATATTCTAAGATTTCTAATATTTAATCCATTTAATTATATCCCTGTAAAAAAAAAAATCCATTTAATTATATAAAAAAGTTTGTAAACGGTTCGATTTAGAAGCGGTTTGGTTCATAAACGGTTCGGTTTACAATCAGTTCGGTTTTTAAATGGTTCGGTGCAAACGGGTAGCAGTTTGCTAACGGTTCGGTGTAAGCGGTTTTTTTGCCAGTTTAACCGGTTTCGGGTTAGATACGATCGGTTCTTTTTCGGTTCGGTTTTCTTTCAATTCGGTTTATATTCGGTTCGGTTTGTTAACGGGTTCGGTTCTTATACAGTTTAATATTATTCGAGTCGATTTGGTTTCGGGTTTACTAAAATACGGTTCGGATCGGTTTTCGATTTCAAAAAATCAGTTTTTAATCGGTTCGGTTCTCATTTGGGTCGGTCGGTTTCGGACAGTTAAACGGTTTCGGTTTAAAATTTGACAGCACTAGTACAACGGTAGAAGTAATAATTTCACATAATTTTCTACTACGTAGCAGTTTAGCACGGAATAACGGATGCATCCTACTATCCTAGTACCAAATACCGATACAATAAAATTTTTGAATTACACGTCAACTTTTGACATGTTTGCAGTTGATTAATATTTTCTCTTTTCTGTAAATAAAATAATTTCTCTTTTCTTTTTCCCCCATTTGTATCTACTCGTATTTCACAGTTGCGCTCAACCCCCTCTCTCTCCTCCATCGCAGCGCAGTCTGAATTCTTCATTGAAGCTGCTGTTGAGGTAAGATGTTTTTCTAAATTAAAAAAAAAAAAAAAAAAACATCGAACATAAATTTCACAATCGTTGATTTAAATTTCCTCAATTTAGGGTTCTTCTAGGTTAGATTATTGAACTATTGGTTTTAAATACTCGAAGAATTTATTCGAGCCTACTTTGATAATCGAGTCAACTTATGTGCTAATTATTCGAAATCATGAAAATTGACGTTAACGGGCCTGATATCGAGTGAAATATTTCGTTTTATATAGTTTCTAATTTGATGATGCTCAACTTATTAAATTATGTGCTATATTTTATTTGATGATCAATTTATTAAATTAATAAATAAAAAAAAATTTGAATATTGCACTTGAATTTGGGATAGATGGAGTTTTTGTTGATTTTTCTTTATCGAATACAGTCATTGAAGAAATAGAGGGAGAATGGCTAACAAACTTTCCTTCAATGAGGGTTTGCACTCGAACTAATAAAAGTTTTCACTTTTGAATGAGACCGTATATATCATTATATTATATGTTTGTATAATCATATGCATATACGACACGTTTGGTGGACTGTTATAAATCGCAATAATGGTAATGAAACAATGTGTAAATTTGTGAAAGATAGTTGATGTCACTACTAATGGTAATGTAAGGTCATCTCTAATTAATTCTCTATACCCTTATAATGGAAAATCATGAAGAAATTCACATGTATGGGATGGGATTCCATTATCATGGTAGTGAATGTGGAATAGATTGTTTCAAAATTTCGTGATGCAATATGTTTAACTGTGCAAATATTTCTAATTTAGGACTCAGGCTTTGTAGTTGTTGAATGAAAAGTTTTCCCAGGGTCAAGTAGGAGCATGAAGCGATACTATTCAATTCTGGATGAAGGTGCTGTCAGAATCTATACTTATGATGGTGATTCTGATGCATTTCAGCCCTTGCTTTATCACTCTTTCAATGTAAGTTTCTATGTGTAGCTTTTTTTTTTTCCCATGTATCATATCATGAATATCTCTGTGTATCACTATCTCCCTTATCAAGCTCCTTGAATGTGTATTATCGTTTTAATATGCTTTGTTGACTTGCTTCATTGTATTCTATTAACCAAGATGTACTTGATGTGATTTTTTATGGAAGCTATGAATGAACTATCTTGTTTTGTATACTCTTTACATTAAAATGTATTTATCTTGCAATTAATGAACTTTAATTCTTTGCAGTTGAAGAATTTGAAGGCTATAGGTTGGTCTCCTCTTGGGTCTTATTTGTTGTGTCTTGGAGAAAAAGAATTGTGTGTCTTGCATACTGAACCTCCTTTTCAGGAAATTGTGTTTCCTGCGGGTGGACTGGTATTCCTTTTTCATTACTGCTTGTAATTTTTTTAAAGTTTTTTTTTTGGCAGCATTGACAATTTGACTAATTTTGTAGGTTGGTGCTGCTGTGTTTTCTCCAAAGGAAAATTATATATCTCTCTTGTACTGGGTGTCGGAAAACCAACCGGTGAGTAATCTAGTTTCCAATATTATGTTGCAGCATTTATTTCCTTTTTCCATAAGAATGATGACCGGACGTTGATTGTGTGGTCTTGGAATGACTTCTTAGGATGTGAAGCTAGAAGTTTGGGAGGCAAAGACTGGAAACATCAGAATAAGTTTTTGTGGAAGCAGCTCTCCAGAAACTTATTTTGCTTCAGTTAAAGATTACCTTAAGTGAGTCCATTTATTTTATTTCCATTGAGTTGGTTGTTTATTTATATATAATGAATATTCCTAATGCTTCTACAGATGGGATTACAATGATAACTACTTTGCTGTCCGAGTATCCAGCTCTGTGATTATCTATGAAACCAAAACATTTTCTCCTCTTAAACATCTGATGTTTAAGCAAGTACAGGAGTTTGATTGGTCACCTTCTGCATCAATACTAGCAGTTTTTGGCAATTCATATGTAAGTGGAAAAGAAGCTATAGAATTTCATACGTATTGTCTGCTTATATCGAACATCTTATTCCTTGTGCATAATATGCTTATAAACAATTATTTAATTTTGCAGTTGAAAATTGTTGATATATGCAGTGGTAAGAAATTGTATGGTTATTCTTGGGAGGGGGTTGAAGGTTACAAGCTTCTGTGGCAAAGTGCTGGGGAATATCTTGCTTGTATATGTAGTGGGACTAATTACAAAAAGATTTTTCTTATTAGCTTGAAATCTGGAAAGGCCGGGTTCATTAGTCCTCGTCTTGATTATATTGATTTTGCTTGGGAAGGAAATGGGAAGCAATTTGCAGTTACTCGTGGAGCTAATGAGGTGGGGCAAACCACAACAAACTTTTACACAATACAGGAAGATGGAAAATATTTGAGGCACAGGATTAAAACACTAAAGGGTATGATTGCTCATTTTCTTCATTGGTCTCCAAATGGTCACTATATGGTGATGCAAGGACCGTTAAATGGTTCCGGAGAATTATACTTTTATGATATTAAAAATCATCAACTGTTGGCCCTTGTATACTTCATAGCTATGGATCTTAGATGGGATGGGAGTGGCAGGTATGTAGTATTTTTTTTTAATGAAAATTTGACAAATTAATTAGAAGGTGCATTTTCAAATGAGGATGAATTCATTTATCTTCCTTGTGTGTGTTTTATTTTTTTTTCCTCTTGTAGGTTTTTCTTAACTCGGGCTAGTCCTAAAAATATTTTCGAGAGTGTTGTTCGGATCTGGTCTTCACATGGAGAGAAACTTATTGATGTTGGATCACTTTATTTACCAATGGTAATCGAATTGTTATCATGTTGGTCTTAGATTTTATAGTTATTTTAAACCATATGCTTTCTTAGAGTATGATTATATTGGTTTTATTGTAGTTTTGGAGCACTAAGGTGTCATGTGATGCTGGGAACTCGGAGATTGATCTAACAAAGGAATCATCGTCTTATACAAGAGATGGTGAACATTTTGTTGAGAAGAGACCGATAGATGATTCCACTTTAGCTCTTCTGGATAAATTAAGGAAGCTTTGATCGTGATCTGACAACTATATACATTTGGTTAGTAACATTAAATTATGTTGTCATTAACAGGTTTATTATAAACTTTTAGCATTATTTGGAAGCATTTATACTTTTAAATCCTTTATGAAGATGTAGAACTTTATATGGAGTGCTTCAATGAAATTTTTTTGGGTGTTTGGTTGACAAGAGTTTTGAGTGGTCAAAACCTTTGTTGGAATTGCTTGGACTACATGAAAAAAAATGAAAGTGAGATTTGAATGTTTATAAACATTACAATATAGTTGTAGGTAAAATTGTGGCCTCTAAGGTATATGCAAAAAAATTGATTTTTGATCACTTGATCCTAACCATGAATTTTTTTGTTAGCTGTGTAAATATCTACATTCCCATTGTTGGGCTTACTGGAAGATTGTTCTGTCTTACAAAAACAGAATACAGCTGTGTGCCTCTGTTTTTAGCCCTTGCATGCGATGCTTGATCTACTATGAAACCCCAATCTTGAGATTGTGCGGGAACACTTGAGTTGTTTTCCCACCATGTTGTTCCAAATGTGATCTATAACGTTGAGTTTTCGCTCAGAATATCTTCCCCTTGTCATCGCCAATTTGCCGTCCCCAATGCTATCCATTGCCACCATGCCTAGACCATCTCTACCCTATACCACATATACCTATTGAATGAACTCCTTCATAGCAGTGTATCTTAATTCCTTTGTATTTTTTGTTTGGAGATGGATCGTGTCGTTCAAACATAAAGGATGAATATAAGTTTGTCTTAGTGATTTTAATGCACTTGTCTAGGCTTTAGCATACTGGCAAAGGGCTAAATGCCTTAGATTATGGAAAACAACTACCACTCTTTTTTTTTCCTTGTACATGAAGTATATTATGAAAAGACCAGTGAGCTGTAAGTCTGTAACCAAGTCATATTTAGCTTACGTCTCTTGTATGAATCCTATGATAGTTTGATTGTTGTGTACTCTAATATTTTCCTCCTTTTCATAATCTGATTCGGTTTATATCCTCAATTACACGTCTTAACACCACATACATGATACATCTATCATTTGTCTAATTCACATTTCCTTCATCGCAGCTAGGTAAAGCTATCAAGCAGGACAAGCTAGCTTCAGAACGACAGTAAGCTCAAGGCCAAGTCTCGATGATAAGATGCTAAAGCTGAGGTGCATTAGTAATTTGTGTGCACTGTAGCCATGTAGGCTTAAGGCTTGAAGAAAGAATTGTTAAACAAAAAAATCTCTTTAAAATGCCTGAAAGTCTTGGTGGACTCAATGTTATTGACAAATTCATTGTTAGCATAAAATCGAATTATATTTCTTGCACTATTTCATTTGGCAGATTGAAAGGACTGCTAAAATCGAATTATATTTCTTGCACTATTTCAATTATGTGATTCTTCGTGTATTCTTAGTACTGCAGTGTTAATACATAATACTGGTAAAAACATAAGCAATTAAAGAGAGTCTAATTATAAACATTACACTAAACAAAAAAATTTATGTAAAAAGAAACCTGATATCCAACGAGCAAAAAGCATAGATAAAAATCATCAAAATTCTTCATCAGATCGATCATCATCAGTTCCCAAGAACATAAGTGGCCCTGCAACCTCATCATCATCATCATCATCATCATTTACACCTTGAATATTATCATCCGTACGATCCGATTTGATGTAATCATCATTTCGCTGAATTCTCAATGTATTGTCATTAATTCCCAGCTGGGGTTTATGCTGTAACACATGAGTCTCCATTTGTTGGTGATTGCCTACAAAAGTGCAAGTGAATGATAAAAGATTTGAATCAGAGATCGAATCGCAATCGCACCGTCGTCTCGACAGATCCCAAACATCTTTAACATGCTGTTCAACTTCTTCAAAAACCTCACCAATCAACACTCCATCACACCCATATCTTCCACACTCCAAATTCCAACCTCTCCTGAAATCGATTCCAAAACCCGAATGACAAGGCTTTGGAAAACAAGCCCACGCAACATTTTCGGTTTTCGCTCGTACCACACACATACCTAGCACAATGTATGTTCGAGCAAAGTAGCTTCAGAGCGTTATGGGGTACTTGGTTGCAAATCGCACACAAAGGTTCAGCCGCCGCCATCGATATAAAATGGGTTTTCAAAATTTCAAGAATTCCAAGAAAATTTCAAGAGTTTTAGGAGAGATTACCTTCGATTACACTACAGTTAAAGATTAATTGAATTCGATTGGCTTTCACAGCGGAGGTGTTGGAAGAAGTTTACTAATTGCTTCAATGGAGAACTCGAAATGGAAGAGCGTGGAAGAATGAGAGCAACAGAGGGAAAATGACAGGATAATAGTAGAAAGGGAAAGGGAAAGAAAGTAGGGAGAGAGAGAATATATAAATGATTGAGTGATGAAGGGGAAATAAAAAAACAAAGCTGAGGTGGGAGAAAAGGAAGTCAACATTCAGTGGAATCACCGCCAATAGCATCCCAAGCCGAGGGCAGATTCAGAAGCACACTGTCATACTGTTTAATTCCGCCAAACTTCTCACTTTTAAAGAGCGTAGATAAATAGATGTAGATTTGTATATAAAAAAGATAATTTTAAAAATAATACCTCAAAAATGAATTATAACACCACAGAATTTCAAACTTTAATTATAACACATCCAAAAAAAAAAAAAAAAAAGATTTCACCACTATCTAACGGATTTTTGGATGAAATCCACTAATTAGGTCCACGATGGATACATGATAAATAAAAAGAAAAGGAAAAAACCCCTAAACCATGTCCTAGCCACTAGCCCACCGCCGGCAACCCTATAAGTTGTTATAGTCATGCATTTAGGATAGAATAGAAACTGTTAAACTTATCTATTAAAGTTCGAATATATATCATAATCAAATAGACAATGCCTCTCTTATTCGACATACTCGATGAGTTCTCCAAAAGTTTCGAACCTAGTCACCTAGTGTCTGGTGGTCGTCTAAGAAATTAGTTTAATGTCACCAAGAAGTATAACAATTTTACACTTAAAGTAGTAATTACACGTTGAATTGAACAAGACACAAGATTAGATAAGAAGCATATATATAATGAGTAATTATTTTTAGTTGTGCTGCAAGTAAACTCGAATTCAATTAGTGAAAAAAGTTCTATATATAATGAGCTGCACCATAACATATACTCATATACAATAAACTTAGACATGGCAATCAAACAACATGCTATATGAAATGTATATCCTTAAAGATGTTCATTAGCATCACTCTGTATCAGTAATACAAGCATCATCGTTATCAGTATCACTCAAGACTAGATCAGCAAATACATCTTCCAATTGGTTAAACGACACCACATCCCTAGCAGCAGCAGTAGCAGTAGCCTCAATCTCCCACGAACAATCTTCATTTGCAGTACTATTATCATGCAAGGATATCTTGAACCTTTTCTCCGGATCAGTCTCCAAATCTCTCAGAAACTGATGGTACTCTGAATCATCATTAGTTTTAGTCCTCTGCATTGTTCTTACATCAATAGAAGATGGAAAAGGAGAAATTGTAGCTTTTGATACAGAACCCTGAAAAAAAAATTACTGACCCAGCACTTAAACAACAATAGATAAAGATGCCAAACTTTTCTATGCATCAATATCACAGTTATAAATAGCACACTCAGCAGAAACGAACAATGGCATATACACCAAAACACATGAAATCTGATAGAGCAACAAAGATAGAAACCTAGAATTTACTACAAACGTTTATATGAAAACTATTGGAGAATACCCAACTAAAAATTTCGAAGAGAGTGAGAGATAGCTCAAGTGGTTAGAGCTTCCCTCCCGGCTCCAGGAGATTCTGGGATCGATTCTCAACCCCGCCCTTATGGCTCTCTAAACACCAAAAAAAAACTAAAAATTTCAAAAGTTTTGGAAAAAGAAAGATGGGAAAAACTCCATCACAACTGGCTTTAATGGAGGAAAGAATGGGTATACAAAAATGAAACCACCCTCATTAAATCAACATTATAGATTAGAGAGAACAAGGTACTCAAGAACAACAGTCAAGTAAATAGGGGAACCAGTACCAACACATTGAGCATGCCTTCCATTCTTTAAATTTGATTCCATTATTCTTTCTCCTTCAGATTTTCATAATTGGCTTAAGTTTCTAGATTTTAATTATTAATTTGATACAAACATCAGAAACCATTTGATTCCCAATTCCACCTGCCAAACAAAATCTAATCCAAATCAAACTCCAGCAACATGTACAAATCAATCTTACATTCACTTCCCAAATTACATAGAAGAACAAAAGCTCAAATGTTCAACCAAACAAACAAACAGCAAATTTCAACACTTAAATTAAAAAGAAGATTTGAGTAGTCAAATCTCACAAAATCATACATTCAAGATTTTAATTGAAGTACTCCATAGTCATTAGTCCATATATAGCACTGAAAGAAAAAGAAAAAAAAAATGTACATCAGTTGGGCTACAAGATATGTGAAAGCAGTAAAGAGTGTTCAATTCTTTTTAAAAAAAAAGTTAAGTGTGTTCAAAATTACCACCCCGAACATATACATTTATCCATGATGAAAGCTTCCTTTTCAGCTTACTCGAAGATCAGCAGTGGAATCAACTATCGGTCTCTTTTCAAGGATACTTTCACCATCCCTTATACTAGACGACTCATTTGTAAAATCATCATATTTAGCACTCTCGGCAACAATTGACACTTTATTGCTCCAGCACTACAATTAAACAAATGAAGTACTTCATATTTCTAAGCAAGGTCATGTTTTAAAATCAAAATCTATCTATGGATATTAATTCATTACCACATGATAATCAAACGGACCAACATCAATAAGTTTCTCCCCGTGTGAAGACCAAATCTGAACAACTTCATCGCAATTCTTACGAGTTGCCCGCGTCAAGAAAAACCTGCAGTGAAGGAGAAAAAACAAATTACACACAAAGGTATTGTCAAAGATTAAAGACAGGAATCAGCTAAAGAAAAAGAACCCACCTGCCACTAGCATCCCATTGAAGATCCCAAGCAATGAAGTGTACAAAGGCCAATTGTTGATGTTTAATCACATCATAAAAATACAACTCTCCAGAACCATTTAATGGTCCTTGCATCACCATATAGTTACCATTTGGAGACCAATAGAGAAAATGTGCAATCATATTACTTACCATTTTCATCCTCTGCCTCAAATATTTTTTATCCTCGTTCATAGTATAAAAGGTTACTGTGGTTTTCCCTGTATCATCAGCTCCGCGACTAACTGCAAATTGTTTACCATTACCCTCCCAAGCAAGATCAATGTAATCATGGTGAGGAGAAATGAACCCGGCCTTTCCGGACTTTAGGCTTATAAGAAATATTTTCTTGTAGTTTAACCCTGTGCATATACAGGCAAGATAGTCTCCATCACTTTGCCACAAAAGCTTATGATCATCCACCCGTTCCCAAGAATAACCATACAATTTTTTACCACTGCATATATCAACAATTTTCATCTGCAATTGCAATGTAATTAACATATGCTTAAGGACAACGAACACTTAAAAACATACAAGATGTATGTATATATGTACTTCTACGTATGATCTTACATAGGAGTCACCAAAGAGTGATGTACTGATGCTGAAGGTGACCAACCAAACTCGCGTACTTGTTTGAACATCAAATGTTTAACACGAGAGAATGTTTTGGTTTCATAAATAGTCACCATACGATTGGATCCTACTAGGGTGGCAAAATAGTTATCATTGTATTCCCATCTACACAAGCATGAGGCAGGAATATTCAATCATTACAAAAATAACTGATACGACAAAATAAACTAGCATCGAAATTGACTCACTTAATGTAATCTAGAGGTTGAGCTGAACAAAATTCCTGAGAAAATTCATTGCCAAATCTTTTTATGATCTTTCCAGTCTTGGCCTCCCAAACTTGTAGCTTCATATCCTATTATGATTCCATAACAAACACGTGCTATCGATATCAGATCAATGTCACCTAATGTAAAAGGAAACACATATATAGAATTTCGAAAGCAACATTACTACTAACTTGTTGGGTATGTGACAACCAGTACATGACAGTTAAATAATTTTCCTTAGCCGAAAATTCAACTGCAGACAGCTGCAAAAAAATTTTGAACAAAATAATTTAACATGACTCAACTTTGAAATACACCCGACTCAAATTGAATCGAAAGAAAAACAAAAAAAAACCTGTCCATCCACAGAAAACTTAAATTCCTGGAAAGAAGGTTGAGTATGCAAGACGAACAAGTGATTCCCTTTGACACAGAGCAACGACGATCCAGAGGGAGACCACCGCATACCGCA